GTTCATTCGAGAACGGATACTATTGGCGGTGCATGCTAATGTCTGGCATGTGTAAAGCGTTGAGAAGTTGATCGTCAAGGTGGAGAGCTTCTACAAGCTAATTGAGTCGGCACAGGCGTTTCCTGCGCCTGAGGGCTTGGACGCGGACGGCGTGGATCTAGGAGACATGACCGATCTTGTCAACTTTTAGTCATTCATGCACTGGGCACACTCCGTTGAGTGATTGAGGACGGCAATCTTTGTCGTGCGATCGCACGACCAGATGGGGACGCGAGCAGGAAGCGGTAGAGGGATACAGGGGCAAGATTCGGTCTGCTGAGTGAACAGCGTCGTCAGGGCACAAGGAGAAGAGAATGAATGCGGCGAATGTGCTGGCATTGGGCCTCATAGGTACCGTAGACACACGAAAGGTTGCCAATCTCCGATGGCCCTAGTATGAGGTCTCCAGTAATTCCATCTCGCAACTGAAGACGGAGCGGACCTGCATTGTATTGTCTTCCTATGGCTCGACGGTCCCGAATCATCACGTGCGTTGTTGAGCGGCCGGCCTGTATAAGTAGGACGCGACCAGCTGCAACCAGAGTCGTCTCGAGGTCTCGCCATCAAACCTTCTCTCGCTTCATACTTGAACATCACACCAGAGTCACACAACCATGTTGGACAGACTACCCTCCGAGCTTGTTGATATCATCTTTGACGATTGTGACCGTCCAACACGGATACGCATCTTGCAGTGCTCCCAGAAGTTTCGGCAAGCCTTCAGACCACGGATTTACCGGCACAACGTTCTGTCAGAACGCTGTTCTGCTGCCCGATGGGCAGTTATTCACTGCCGTGATGATGCCGTGGCATTCCGCGTAGTCGAGGCATCGGTGTATGCTGGGATGGATGTTTGGGCCCCGCAGTTCGCCATCACGCTGACCGAAATGTTCCCAAGGCGGTTTGTATTGAAGCTTTCACGAATTCTGGGTCAGTCTGCTGCTTGCCTGTCCCCATTTGCCGTCGCCGTTCTCAAGCGAAGAGAGGAACTCGTCACGTCGATTCTAAGCATGACGAGTGCAACGGAATGGCACTTGGACAAGTTGCTTGCTCCAGATATCATGACGTATCTGGGAAAGTTGACAGGAGACCAGCCGTCATCAAGTAGCCAACTTACGCCTCTTCATATTGCCTCCGCCACTGGTCTGGACGCTGTCGTCAAGCGAATCCTCGAAAAACCGGCACCGGGGGTGGTCTCGAAAGACGCGCGTGACCGCACCCCGCTGTCCTATGCGGTACAGTGCCCGCTTACACGTAGCTCAACCATCCGACTGCTCCTTCGACAACAGACCGATCTTCATGGCAAGATAGCCCCCGAGAACCACGCGGACCTCTTGGAACACTGTTGCCGAAATGGCCTATTTCGCCTTGCCGCATGTTTCCTTGAACTCGAAGTACGATGTGACCTGCAACATCTCCTTCGCTTGGCTCTTCTGGCTCCCTCGGCGTCTTTTCCGGGGAGGTCTAGCTCCGATAGAGACGTCTTGATTCGGAGGCTGATTCGACGCGGGGTCAATCCGAACGGCATGGTGCGGGCAACAGATGTCGATGTTGATAAACGGCCGCTCCTTTCTGAGTTGGCAATGACATCGCATTCGGCAACAAAACATCTGCTTGCCATTCGAGGCGTCGATGTGAACGTCCAGGATAAGTACGGCCAGACGGCCTTAACTCGGTTGTTATTGGAAAACCACTCGGCGCGCAAGACGGTAGCACTGCTCCTGGAGCGCGGGGCAAAGTTACAGCCACACTCCCTTGGAGGTATCATACGGG